TGTGTAATCTAAACGTGATATCCATAGTTTTACCTATGCTATCAAGTTGATTTTAATTTTATTAGAAAGTAAATAAAATCATCTACAACTTCTATTTTGACCTCCATAGTTGATTTTTACCATTTATTATTTTTAAAATATGCAAAATTGTAGTATTTATGCTTAAATATAACTAATTCTTTGCTCACTAATTTGATCATAACTTAAGTTTTAGATGTCGTTTTTGGGTGATTTTAAACCCATTGGAAACATCACATTGCAGGATACAACTTGTATGAATACCACAAAACTTAATTTGATCATTTAAAGATCCTCACAAGGCTTACAATTTATGCACCAACAAGTGAGGCTCATCTTGTGGCTCATATAAATCAGTCATTATTCTTGTGTCTAAACTATTGTCTCAAATGTTTAATTTATAGTCCATACGATATTTTTTAGGATTTAAAAATTCACATAAAACTCCCAAATCATTCATACAACCCTAACCCTTAATATACATAGAAATTGGAATCAATCATCAAAATTTACAAAATTACAAAGGCAAGACAATAAATCAATCTCAAATTATACAAGCATGCATCTACCATTTAAATTAAAAACTTGTGATGTTTAGGGATACCCTCATACCCATACCCCTTACACGAGCCCATGGATTAGACATTCTCACTCCCCTTTTACCTCAGATGATGACCTCTAAGGCAACAATTCTGATCTTCGTTGTTCTAAGGCTACTGCATGTGCTTCTCGAGGTTCCCCTCTAGTTTTTCCTTTATAATCATTCTTAGTGCTTAAGAGTCTAAACCCAAAGGCTTCCCACAAATCCATAGTTTATCTTTATTTTATTTAATAACAACATCCACTGCTTATATTACAAGCTTTATAAACAAATTAAGTAAAAACATAATATAAATATTATTAAACAAATTATTTTTTTATTTTTGAACAATAGGATGTTACATACTTGATGGAACTTTATTTGCAATTCGATGAACATTACATAGTTGCACTCAAAGATGATGAAGTGGATTTGGACCTGATGGAACTTCACGTGCAATATGATAAACATTACCATAACTAGTCCAATTCACCCCCCTCTTGGATTGAGCCATTCTTTTCTATCATTTGGTATCTAGAGCAAGGTTCTTGACTGTTAATCAAGATTTAAAAAATGGCCAACAGTAACCTACCTTATGGTGAGGGTGTTTCTATTCGTAGACCTTCTGTTTTCAATGGAGAAAATTATGTTTATTATTGGAAAATTAGAATAAGAATTTTCATTGAAGAATTGACATTGCTATATGGGATGCAATTGAAAAAGGACCCATTATTCCTATGACTAAGGATAGTGATGGGAAGAGAGAAAAAAATTGGAGTGAGTGGAGTGATGATGAGAAAAAGAGAGCTCAATATGATTATAGAGCAAATAACATTATAACATCTGCATTGTCTATTGATGAGTTTTTTTTTTATAATTTCTCAATGCAAGTTATCCAAAGAAATGTGGGACACACTACAAGTTACTCATGAAGGAACAAGTGATGTAAAAAGATATAGGAAACATACTCTCATAAGAGAATATTAATTGTTAAGAATGAATCATGGTGAATCAATTTCTGATTTTCAAAAACGCTTTACACATTTGATAAATCACCTTATTGATCTTGGCAGGAAATTTGAGGAAGAAGAATTAAACTTGAAGGTTCTACAATGCTTGGACAGATCTTGGCAAGCTAAGGTTACTGCAATAGAAGAATCAAAGGACCTAACCTCATTAACACTTACAACTTTCTTTGAAAAGCTAAAAGAACGTGAGCAAAAGTTGCACATATTTGATGAAAATGAACTGCAGGATAAAAAGGGAAAAGGAGTATCTCTTAGAGCCTTAAAATTAGTCAAGGGCAAAGCGAAATGTAAAGATTCAAGATCTGAAGATTCTGATTCAGAGAATTTCAATTTGCTGGTGAAAAAGTTCAGCAAGTTTCTAAGAAGGATAAAGAGATCTCCATTCAAGTTCAACAAGAGGGAAACTAAGAAAGATGAAGGGAGAACGTCTTTTTATACTTGCTTTAAATGTGGAAAATCTGGCCATATAAAAGCTGAATGCCCCAATCTCCTAAAGAAGCAATAAGAGGAGAAGAAAGGAAAGAAAAATAAAAAAGGAAAAAGAGCCTACGTAGCTTGCGAAAATAATGATCCGAGTTCAACAAGCAGTGAATCTAAATCTGAGGAAGTCAACCTATGTTTGATGGTTGGAGTTGATCAAGATAACATTGTAAGTGATTCTGATCTTGTGTCTAATCCTGATTATGATCAACTTCAAGAAGCTTTTACTCAAATTCATAATGAAGTTGTGAATTTAGATGCTTTAATCACTAAGCTAAAAAGAAAATTGTCATGGTATGAAAATGATTTGATTAAAGCTGAACAAGAGCTTGAAAACTTGAAAATTGAACATGAAAATTTGCAAACAATTTTGAATTTCAATGAAGCTCATTATGAAACCTCCTCTTCTTCAAAAGCTGAATGTGAAAGTTGCAAAGTTTTAAAAAGAGAAAATGCTGATTTGAAAAATTCTCTTGCAAAATTCAAAAATGGAAATGCAAATTTGAATATTATTTTGCTAGGGATCACATTCCAAGTAACCTAGGCAAAAGTTAGGGCGCTAAAGTAGCAACCTGAGTCAAAAATCGAAAAGCGATTCAGAGAGGATCATCTAACCAAAGCGCAATCCCAAGTCATCACCCAACTTTCCAAAACAAATCTAAAATCACAACTTCTCTGTAACAAACAAGTTTTGTTTAATAACGCTAAACAGTAAAGCCTACCTTAGCCAACCATTCTTTTAAAAAAAACCTTTTTTTGAAAAAATCCCTTCTAACAAACCTTTTGAAAAAAAAAGAGTATACAAACATCCCTTTCTTTCTTTTCTTTTGACCCCTATGGCATTAGAGCGGTACCAAAAAGATACTTAGCCTCGCGCGACGTAGGTGGAACAGTCTGGCATGGCGAGGTCACCGCGTCCTCCTGCGTGGAAGATGTTCTCACCGATTGCAAGTCTCACAAGGTTGTGGTGAAGGGAGAAAAAGAGGATCCGGTGAAGGTTCTAGAGAGAGTGTAAAGAAAGAGCCACCGAAAGGTGGAGCTTCTCTCTCCGATCCCAAAGCTAGCGGCGGAGGAGGAGAAAGAGAAGTCGGAGGCAGAGCAGCCGGAGGTGAAGAAGAAGGAAAAGCCTCCGGTGGAGGAATGACGTTGAGGGAGGGTTAGGGTTTTGGATTTGGTGAATCTGAGAATTAGGATCATTGAATGAATGTTTGTTTGGTTTCTCAATACGAAATCGTTTAATGGGTGAACCGATGTAGATCTATTTATAATTATTTACAAAATTGTCACCGCGTATTCAATACTACATCGGTCCCACTAAAAACGATGTAGAATACTCAATATTTACATCGGTCCCAGCCATAACTGATGTAAATATGCTTTATATTATATACTTATTTACAAAAATGCCACCGCATTTAATTTCTACATCGGTTTTACCTAAACCGATGTAGAATTGATGATGTTAAATAGTAACTTTCTAATAGTGTATGCAGCTTGCGAATTGCTCGGATTTAGAGTTTTGTCCTGGTTTAGAAGATTTAATTTTATTTGAAACAATTAATTTTATCAATTACATTTGTCATCATCAAAAAGGGTGAGATTGTTACGTCAAACGAAAACAAAGCACTTCCCAGCAATGTTTTGAATGAGACAAATATAATACATATTGTTGTTACTAACAAAAAGTGCAGTAGTGTTTTAGATATGTATAAGAGTAGGAAAAGCCAAAATATGAAGCAAGGAAAAGCAAAACAAGGGTCTGACTAAACAAACATATGCATCAGACGACACAAGACAACAGATGAAAGCGTCACATAAACAAGACAAGAAGCAATAAACGGAAGTCAACAAGACTCAAACAAAAGTTGGTCAATACTCATAAGAAAGTGGGTCTGGAAAACTTTATAAATAGTTTTCACACTTCGAAACAAGTACTGAGAGATAACAAAGAACAAAAGAGAGTATACCACTGATTTTGTGAAGTCTTTGTGACCTTCTTCGAGTGTTTTCTTTGTGAAACCAAGAATAAAAATATTTTGTAAAATGCTTTGAGAGAAAACATCATCATCACTACATTCTTGGAAGATAAGGTTGAGATTTGTCAAGAATTGACAGTCTGATTTGTTTAGCTTCCATGTGAATTCGTTCCTTTAACTCTTTGTGTAATGTGTAAAGAAATCTTGAGTAAGTGTCTCAAGTGGTAAGGAATTCTTGTAGTGGGTTTCTACAAGAAGTGTTTTCTTGGGTGCAAAAAAGTGTCTATCTTGAGTGTTGAAGTGTGTGCATGTGTGGTATGCTTGTAAAACTTCTTCATTGAGATAGTGGAACAAATCTTGATTAGGTTATGATTACGAACTAGATGTAGGTCACATGTGGAGTGGCTGAACCAGGATAAAAAACTTTGCACTCTCCTCTCATCCTTATCTCTTGTATTGATTAATCTTTATTTGAATTTTACAATGAATGATTCTGAGTAATTTGCTTGCATGGTTAAAACTAATTAAAAGTGAATATTGTCATTGTATACATGTTATTTTGAGAGTTGATTCAATAAAGATTAACCAAGAACACATAAAAGTCATTCCCATATACAAGTGATTCAATATACTTCTTTGAAAAGTGTCTTAGAAAAGTTTTGAATTAAATATAGATCCTTAAACTCTAAAAAAAAAAAATTTAAGTGTCATTAAGTCCAATTCACCCCCCTCTTGGATTGAGCCATTCTTTTCTATCATTTGGTATCTAGAGCAAGGTTCTTGACTGTTAATCAAGATTTAAAAAATGGCCAACAGTAACCTACCTTATGGTGAGGGTGTTTCTATTCGTAGACCTTCTGTTTTCAATGGAGAAAATTATGTTTATTATTGGAGCTTTATTTCCGACCCGGACAATTTTTAGGGGTCTACAGGACCTGATGGAACTTCATGTGCAATATGATAAGCACTACCATGTTGCAAAATATTCCGATGGTTTGAATTTGAACCATATAGACCATTTCTTGAACTAAGAGCAACCTTAATTGGTGGTAATAAAATGTTATGGATTGGATTTGGACCTGATGGAACTTCATGTGCAATATGATAAGCACTACCATGTTGCAAAAATTTCTGATGGTTTGAATTTGAACCATCTAGACCATTTCTTGAACTACGAGCAACTTTACTTGACTGCAATAAAAGGTTGTGCTTTGAATTTAGACCAAATGGATCATCATGTTGAATATGATGTACATTACTAGGTTGCACAAAATTACCATGGATTGGATTTTGAACTTTTGGACCCTCCCTTAAAATATGATTAGCATTGTTAACATCATATTTTTGAGTTGTTGCTGATTTAGTAACGCGAGTTGAAAATGATGTAGCATTATTAGTGAACAATGCATAAAGAACAACTATGAGGATTTTTGTAAAAGAAGCCATATACAAATTTGCCATCTCGTAGAAGTATTTAGAAAATGGCTAAGATTGGGTGAACAAAAATTATGATAAAGTAGAAATATATATAGGCATAATTCAAATATTAACACAACACACATTTTCTTTTCTGCTATAACTTTGGTGACGTTCACTCTTAAGCAAAAATAATGCACAAGAAGTTAGATTCTTTTTTGAATGTTCTATTCATGGTCATAAATGGTAATTTAAACTTGGAAATTATTTTAAATTCAAAAATTATATATAATATTTTTTATACTAAATTATATTTCCTTTGGTAGAAAAGTATCACAAATTTTGTTCAAAAATTTGGTCACTCATTAAATTCAAAATAACAAATTTACTAAAATATATGTTTGACTACCAAAATCATGACCTTATTCCTTTATGAAAAATATATTTTTCTTGCGGAAAAGTATCACAAATTTTGGTCAAAATCTTTCTTATTAAATTCTAAAAAGGAATAAGGCCCTAATTTTTGTAGTCAAACATCCCATATTCAATTTTTACATTTAATATAATCAATTATATTTGTAAATAATTTTTTTATACATTTTGTTTAGTCTACAATTTGACTTAATTTTCCATAAAAGGATATTATTTCATTATTAAATAATGTTTGAATTTTATATTTTTTTCCCAATTTTTTAAGTGACAAATGACACATATTTGGGTTGGATATTATTGGTATATTGGGAGTAATGAAGTCTATTAATTTAATATAATTGACAAGATTTTCCACAAATGTAGTGATATTTTTCTTAAATCTACAATTTGGAAATTTTTTGTGTAAGGACCTTATGATAGATGGTTTAAAGAATTGGTCTTTAGAGTCAATTCTTTAAGGCATTTCCCTTAAGAGAAAATTTTTATCTTAAACCTCTTTGATTAGTAGACACCTTGTGCTCATCATTCTTGCTTATATATACAACTAGGTACACCATATTTTCTAGTATAACAATTTTTAGTAGTATGACCTTTTTTACAACGATAGAAACATATGATGGATGGCCTAGAATAATTCCTAACAAAGATGATGGTGTTTTTATAGAATACATTTTTGTTATTTAAATTGAAACCAATTCTAGTTTCATCAAAAATATATCTTTTTATACCTAGCAACTTGTTTAAATTTTCTTTGCTATTTTTGAATCTCGCTAGTGTAGCTTTCAAATTGGAATTTTCTTTTCTTTAACACTAAGTAAGTTTCACAATCAGCTTTACTTGAAGAGGAAGGTGTTGTACAAGAGCATTCATTTATTTTATAAATTATTTCACAATCTTCATGCTTTAATTTAAATTTTTCAGCTATTATTCAACTTTTATTAATGTATCCTCATACCAACTAAGTTTGTTTTTCAACTTACTATTAAGAGCTCACACTCTTAGTGCTTCCTTGTGCTCTTGAATAAAAGTTTCTTGTAGCTAATCATTATCAAGATTAGATTCAAAATTAGAACCACTTACATTGCTTTGTTGATCCATTCCAAATCTTGAGTACAAGTTAGCTTCTTCATTTTCAGATGTGTCACTTGAAGAGCTTGAGTCATTGTCATTCCATGCTATGTAGGCCTTTTTTCCTTTTACTTGATTTTTGCCATTTCTATCCTCTTTTGTTTCTTTAAGTATATAGGATAATCAACTTTGATATGTCCTTGCTTTCCACACTCAAAATAAGTATATTGAACAACATTTCCTTCTTCTTTTTTGTTGTTCCTCTTGTTGAAGTTTTGAGCTGACTTTTTCTTCCACTTCAAAAACTTGCTAAATTTTCTCACCATGAGGTTGAAGTGTTGCACATTCGAATCTTCTAACTTGAATCTTCAACAATTTCTTTTTCTTAACTCTATAGTCATTTTGTGCTCTCTCTTTTCATCTTCACTTCATTCACTCCAATCTTTATCTCTTTGCTCAACTTTTTCTTCACTCATAATGATGGAACCACACTAAGGCCAAGAAGACCAAGAGGTGATATATTGAAGGAGGAAAGAGGAATGGGTTAGTTTTGAAGATCATAAGAGAAGTGGGCCTACTTTTGAGCCTTAGCTCCTACGTTTTTTATTAGTATAGGATTTATTCCTATTTTACCTTTGTCTTTAATTTCCTATTTTACACTTTTATTTTGGGTACTTCAGACATAGGATTTATTTATCTTGTATTTCCTATTTTACCCTTGTATTTTCGGGTGTCTTAGTTATAGGATTTTTTTTTACTTGTATTTGCCATTTTATCCTTGATAACATCTGCATTGTCTATTGATGAGTTTTTTTTTTATAATTTCTCAATGCAAGTTATCCAAAGAAATGTGGGACACACTACAAGTTACTCATGAAGGAACAAGTGATGTAAAAAGATATAGGAAACATACTCTCATAAGAGAATATTAATTGTTAAGAATGAATCATGGTGAATCAATTTCTGATTTTCAAAAACGCTTTACACATTTGATAAATCACCTTATTGATCTTGGCAGGAAATTTGAGGAAGAAGAATTAAACTTGAAGGTTCTACAATGCTTGGACAGATCTTGGCAAGCTAAGGTTACTGCAATAGAAGAATCAAAGGACCTAACCTCATTAACACTTACAACTTTCTTTGAAAAGCTAAAAGAACGTGAGCAAAAGTTGCACATATTTGATGAAAATGAACTGCAGGATAAAAAGGGAAAAGGAGTATCTCTTAGAGCCTTAAAAAGATCAATAAGGTGATTTATCAAATGTGTAAAGCGTTTTTGAAAATCAGAAATTGATTCACCATGATTCATTCTTAACAATTAATATTCTCTTATGAGAGTATGTTTCCTATATCTTTTTACATCACTTGTTCCTTCATGAGTAACTTGTAGTGTGTCCCACATTTCTTTGGATAACTTGCATTGAGAAATTATAAAAAAAAAACTCATCAATAGACAATGCAGATGTTATAATGTTATTTGCTCTATAATCATATTGAGCTCTCTTTTTCTCATCATCACTCCACTCACTCCAATTTTTTTCTCTCTTCCCATCACTATCCTTAGTCATAGGAATAATGGGTCCTTTTTCAATTGCATCCCATATAGCAATGTCAATTCTTCAATGAAAATTCTTATTCTAATTTTCCAATAATAAACATAATTTTCTCCATTGAAAACAGAAGGTCTACGAATAGAAACACCCTCACCATAAGGTAGGTTACTGTTGGCCATTTTTTAAATCTTGATTAACAGTCAAGAACCTTGCTCTAGATACCAAATGATAGAAAAGAATGGCTCAATCCAAGAGGGGGGTGAATTGGACTTAATGACACTTAAATTTTTTTTTTTTAGAGTTTAAGGATCTATATTTAATTCAAAACTTTTCTAAGACACTTTTCAAAGAAGTATATTGAATCACTTGTATATGGGAATGACTTTTATGTGTTCTTGGTTAATCTTTATTGAATCAACTCTCAAAATAACATGTATACAATGACAATATTCACTTTTAATTAGTTTTAACCATGCAAGCAAATTACTCAGAATCATTCATTGTAAAATTCAAATAAAGATTAATCAATACAAGAGATAAGGATGAGAGGAGAGTGCAAAGTTTTTTATCCTGGTTCAGCCACTCCACATGTGACCTACATCTAGTTCGTAATCATAACCTAATCAAGATTTGTTCCACTATCTCAATGAAGAAGTTTTACAAGCATACCACACATGCACACACTTCAACACTCAAGATAGACACTTTTTTGCACCCAAGAAAACACTTCTTGTAGAAACCCACTACAAGAATTCCTTACCACTTGAGACACTTACTCAAGATTTCTTTACACATTACACAAAGAGTTAAAGGAACGAATTCACATGGAAGCTAAACAAATCAGACTGTCAATTCTTGACAAATCTCAACCTTATCTTCCAAGAATGTAGTGATGATGATGTTTTCTCTCAAAGCATTTTACAAAATATTTTTATTCTTGGTTTCACAAAGAAAACACTCGAAGAAGGTCACAAAGACTTCACAAAATCAGTGGTATACTCTCTTTTGTTCTTTGTTATCTCTCAGTACTTGTTTCGAAGTGTGAAAACTATTTATAAAGTTTTCCAGACCCACTTTCTTATGAGTATTGACCAACTTTTGTTTGAGTCTTGTTGACTTCCGTTTATTGCTTCTTGTCTTGTTTATGTGACGCTTTCATCTGTTGTCTTGTGTCGTCTGATGCATATGTTTGTTTAGTCAGACCCTTGTTTTGCTTTTCCTTGCTTCATATTTTGGCTTTTCCTACTCTTATACATATCTAAAACACTACTGCACTTTTTGTTAGTAACAACAATATGTATTATATTTGTCTCATTCAAAACATTGCTGGGAAGTGCTTTGTTTTCGTTTGACGTAACAATCTCACCCTTTTTGATGATGACAAATGTAATTGATAAAATTAATTGTTTCAAATAAAATTAAATCTTCTAAACCAGGACAAAACTCTAAATCCGAGCAATTCGCAAGCTGCATACACTATTAGAAAGTTACTATTTAACATCATCAATTCTACATCGGTTTAGGTAAAACCGATGTAGAAATTAAATGCGGTGGCATTTTTGTAAATAAGTATATAATATAAAGCATATTTACATCAGTTATGGCTGGGACCGATGTAAATATTGAGTATTCTACATCGTTTTTAGTGGGACCGATGTAGTATTGAATACGCGGTGACAATTTTGTAAATAATTATAAATAGATCTACATCGGTTCACCCATTAAACGATTTCGTATTGAGAAACCAAACAAACATTCATTCAATGATCCTAATTCTCAGATTCACCCTTGAAGCCCCCGCCGCTACCAGAGAGGCTGGTGAGCATGGCGTCACGGCTGGCCATGGCGTCAGAGTTGTAGCTGATGGAGGGCCCACACTTCTTGAGCACCACTGCCTTGTCCTGGACGCCAAGAAAGGTGGCATTATCGTACTTGACGAAGCAGCCGTCAAGCTGCACGACGCCGCCACAGGTCTGGCGGAAGATGTTAAAG